GAAGTCGGGAGCAGTGTGACCAGATTTACGTCAGGCCTCCCATACAAATCGAATGGAATTTAATCTAATTTAAACCAAAACAAACCCCTCCTACTTGCGTACAGCAGCCAACTACCAGTCAATCATGCATGGCCTACACTCGATCGAGAACATTCATTTTGAAACGTTCGGCCGGCTTACCCGAACAGCAGCCGACCTGGCCGAACACCAGCCGAATTCTCCAACCTACTCTGATTAACTATGAATGGTGAATCTCGGCTAGTGCTTGGGAGACCATATTCTACTATGTGTGACAGGGGCATAACTTACCAGTTGGCATTCCTTTGACGGTAAAAGGTGGGACGTACTTCCTGGTGACGTCAGGGCATGATGACGTAGTCCATTTCCTCACCCAACTCTCCACCAATCCGGACACGTCATCCAGACTGGTCTGTTCCGCAACATTGATAATGACGTCACTCACCTCTTTGTTGTACAGAAGAACCACCTAACCAAGTGGAAGATATAATCATTACACTGTTTTAAAATGCAGCATTATTTTCTTACGTTAAATAAAGCGGGACCTCCAATACCGTTTTGTTACCCCTAAACCAAAAAAAGTTTACGTTGAATATCTTATAGTAGTAAATATCTATACAATAAGATTCATTGTTTAGATGTAGTAAGAAATATTGTCTCATAAGATAAGATTTTTTTCTGAAATATGGAAAACGAAGGCACAATAAAAGAATCGTGTAACCTTTAATAATTTGAAAAGTGTCTAACGAAATCGGATGTAGAAATATTTGCCTCGTGGCTAGCAAGAAAAAGTTAGACTGACAATGACACAACATGACTTTTAATTAGAAAAAAATGATAAAGATGCTTGCGGTAGCAATTGCACCTGTTTAAGACGAATAGTCCAGTGCATGTTGCTAATACCAAGGATCACCTTAAGCGGCGTCTTGAGAGCCTGCATCTCCGCCTTGTCCTTGACCCAGACCGTGACCCTGCCGGAAGCGTGGATAGCGTACAGCTGGGACAGCAGGTCCAGGACAGGCAGAGGGTTGCTGCCGACTGGGTACAGCAGCTGTTCTACACTCTGTGCTGGGTCGGGGCGGAAACGTTCCTCTACCGACTGGACTGTAGAACAATGATTGAACATGAAAGGTCAGTTTTGGCCAGGCAAATATGATTATGTTACATGCTGAAAAGCTGATGACCATTTTCGAGCTCAAATACCATTAAGATCCATTCACGGCATCTCCAGATATGCCGAACACAATATAATAAGCAAACACATAAAAGCCAATTGCAGTGCCGTTGGAAAAGCCAGGTGGCCATTTTTTAAACTTGACCCTCGATTAGACAATATATCTTAATTAACAGACCAAAAGTCAATAAGACTCGAGCTATGACGTCGACCTGCATAGAGAACCAAGCCACGGCCCAGCCCAAAATGAAATTTTGGTCGGACTATTGCTTTTAACACGTAAGAGACAATAATAGTCAGAAAATTAAGGAAGAGCGAAATGAATGGGTTCTTACTCATCAGAGAAAACAGCGGTGCTTCCACCAGACAGTGCCTGTCCCCTCCACACGCGTACAGCTTCAACTCGCTGTTCTCCTTGTAGAAAAAGTTAGTCACGTTTGGTTCATCGTTGTCGAGTTCAAAGTTACGTTGGCCCAGTGCAGGAAGTTGTCGCAGTGCTCGACCTTAGACTCCCATAGATCACCTACGGGAACAGGCGACAGTGTCCATTCATGAAGCAAAGTAGTCTCTAATAACAGAATTCAATGACGTAGGCCATGTTGATTTGAATAAATGGATGACATCCGCGCGCGCATGAATTTTGGCGGTTAAAAAAAGGTTTCAACCGTACTGTAAATCGTACAAAACAGTTGCAAAATGAGCAACTATTTACCGTAACTTGCAAAAAAAATATTGGAAAACGATACCAATGTCGTAGAATGCCAAAATCAAACGAAAAAGACACAAATGTAAAGAAATGAAATGCCATACTTCAGCATGAAAGTTCATCTGAGTTGGTAAATTACATTATGAAAAACTTAAACTTTTCTCCAACTCAAAATTTGACTCACCAGAAATGTTCGACCGAATCACTCAGTCTTCCTCAGCTATCTGACCCAAATGCTGTGGACACGTGATTTTTCCCACGTGTGACGTCAGCAAATACCTCATCGTACGTTAAGACAACTCCTTGTGGCACCTAAGGACAAAACTCCCAAGGAAGACAAATGTGGGGTTATCTACCACATAAGTTGCCAGGGAAACACTAACAGAGGCCCCTGTCGGGAAACTTATATCGGGGAAACTGAGCGCTCACTAAAAACCAGGTTTCTAGAACATAGACGACCCAGTTCTGTTAATAAATAGCTGCTGATGCTCATCCATAGGCACCGCCTGATGCCCATGTCAGCTAGAGTCATCAGAAGTTGACTGTGAGAGATGGTATCAAAGGCACGGGTGAAATCAACGAAAACCGCGTGCACATCTCGCTTCGGGTTACTGTTTAACTTCGGGTTACTGTAAAACTTTCCAACTATAGACGAACAGGTTGAGGTCTGGGAAGAGCTGGATACCGGTGTAGCTAACACACATGCCCCATTGAAAAAATGCAAAATGAGAGGTACACCTGCACCATGGCTCACTAGCGACCTTCGCCACCTCATTGTTCTTAGAGACAAAATGTACATGGAAGCGAAACGCTCCGGTAGTGCAAGCGACTTGTCCGACTACAAGGGAATGAAAAACAGGGTGAATTACTTATGCCGCCAGGCGAAAAAAGACCATGCAGCTCAGTCAGTAATACAGGGGTCTGAAGGGGGAAGGCTTTTGTTTGGAAGGCCATACGTACACTACTACCCAACAAGACTACAAACACTGTTACTTACTTGGAGCACGAAGGTCAGAGCATCTCAGACAGTATAGGGCTGGCAGAAACTTTCAATGATTTCTTTCACCAAGTCATACAGGACTTGTGTAGTACTCTTTCAGGGGCTGTATTGCCCTACCCACCTACTCAGTTCATAAACAAAGTAGACAGCACTTTCAGCTTCACACCACTTACAGTAGAGTCTGTCACCGATCAACTATCAATGCTGAACGTGAAAAAGGCCACCGGCCTAGACAGTATTGATAACAGACTCCTTAAAGCAGGTGCACAGGTCCTTGCTCCATCGCTCACTAACCTTTTCAACAAGTCCTTAAGCTCAGGAGAGTTTCCGACTAAGTGGAAGATGGCAAAAGTCATGCCAATCCACAAAAAAGGGGACAGGACTATGCCGAGTAATTATCGCCCAGTGTCCATCCTGCAGGGAATTTCCAAAATACTCGAACGGGCGGTTCACAACCAGCTATACACCTACTTTAACCAACACCAACTGCTCTCACAATGCCAGTCAGGCTTCAGAAAGCGTCATTCTTGTGAGACTGCCCTGCATTTTGTTACAGAGGACTGGATTGAGTCTATCGACAAAAAACAACAAACTGGTGTTATCTTCTGCGACCTATCCAGGGCCTTTGATACCCTAAATCATGACATCATGCTCAGTAAACTTAAAGCCTATGGTGTTGATGAAATGTCATGTAGATAGTTCAAGTCATACTTGACAGGCCGGTTACAGCGTACATGCCTTAACTCAGTCCTGTCGTACCCATCTAATGTGACTTGCGGCGTTCCGCAGGGGTCCATCCTTGGACCCCTTCTTTTCATTGTCTACATTAATGACCTTCCCAATTGCATACAGTCCTGTAAGGTAGCCATGTATGCAGATGACACCATTCTCTACTTTTCACACAGCTGCACACACACAATACAGGACACAATCCAGAACGACTCTACCCGGCTAGTGTACTGGTTTATCGTCAACAGACTCTCATTAAACCCTTCCAAATGCAAATCAATGCTAGTTGCTTCACACAGGTCCCGAGCTGCTGACCAGCACCTGCAACTTACACTTGCTGGCTCAGAACTGGAACAAGTGGAAACGTTTAAGTATCTAGGCGTTTTCCTCGACAACACACTACAGTGGAACCACCATTTTACCCATGTTTCAAAGAAGCTGTCACAAGCAATTGGAATAATGAAGTGCCTAAGACCATACTTGAACAAACAAGCACTACTGACTATCTACAACACACTGTTCCTCCCCCACATCTTATATTGCAGCACTGTTTGGGACCAGGGGGGAAGGGTTGTACAGACAAGCTTCAGAAGCTAGAAAACAGAGCTGGTAGGGTCATATTAGGGTGCGACCGCTACACTTCCAGTGAAACTGTTTTGAACCTGCTAGGCTGGACCACCGTATCACAACACCACACACGGGCCAAGGCTGTCCTCACGTTCAAGGCACTGAATGGTATGACACCTGCGCACATCTCACAATACTTCACAACATCTGCTTCTACCCACTCACACAACACCCGTCACAGTCCACAGGGGGGGGGGGGCTCCAACTACCTAAAGCACGTCTACAGTACAAAAAGAGATCATTTTCATTCTCCGGCACAGTTCTCTGGAACTCCCTTCCGCCACATGTAAGAAACTCAAAATCTATCAGTACATTTAGGACCAGACTTTCTTCCCTCACCAGTTAATTTGATTTTGGTTGAGTGATTTACAAACATTATGATTTTCCTTACCAGTTAATAGGATTTCGTTTGTTTTATGCTTGTGAGATAAGTTCCATTGGTATGCAAATTCCTTTCGCTTTAACTTATTTATGTTTGGTTGGATTCCTTATGTTACCTTATGATTAATTGCACACTTGTATATAGTGATTACTTTCTTCTTATTTATTATTGTATTTTATCCTCAGTTACTTTGTTTGTATTTTACTATGTTGGGGTTTACCCCCCAGGCATCATTGAAAAACGCCGACAAGGCGATATGTATCACCTGGATAAATAAATGAAATGAATGAAATGAAATGAACAGGGCATCTCGCTTGGGGATCCTGAAGCGGCCAAAAATTGCAACTGTGTGGTTGCCAAAAATCAGCTTCGTTGGACAGTTCTTGCAAACGTAACGCTGGAAAGACAATTTAAAGGTACATCCTAAGAAAGTGCGTGCACTTAGCAATTATGCAAAATCTGATCGCTTGAGATTAAGGGAAATTTTAATTTTAAACACAACAAACAACTTATATTTGTTTCTCATACTCGGTTAACCGCTACATGGCGTAACACACTAATATATGCACATTGCATAAATTCAACTAGTGCTTACATCAATAAGAATACAAACATAACATGATCATACATGAGGCAACTGTATGAAAGTGATGGGACTGTAAAATCTGGTTTATTTAAATTTATAAAGTTGTATGTAAGTGTATGTTGCAATACCTGGCAATTATGTTCAACTTTCCGCGTTACATGTTGAGCGTTTTGATAATAATCACATTGGCAGACTAATACAAATATATGGTAGCGAGCTTTTACTAACAGCCACCGCCCCAATGATCGTATAATATGGTTCTGACCATCATGACATATAGTCTTGAGATTATGCATATGGTTATAGGCAAAGGGCAATGCAATAACACGTTGATTTGTAGTGAATTATATCTAAAGCTAAATAAAAAAAAACAATAAAGGTATACTCATATTTAGCTTTCGACTCCAATATTAAGACAAGCATTCCTGCACATTGAAATTTGCGCATGTCAAAATTCACAGTGTATTATATGGAGAAACGTCGACCTATTGTAATCTAAGTGCAAAATAAAATGTTTGCCATCCATGCCATGCAATGCTTTAAAGTACCGTGTTATAAAGTATATTTCATTAAAAGGGTGTTTTACGTCTAGTTCTACAATAATCATATTTCTACTCGTCATGATATTTCCTACTACCACAAAACGAGAGGTACTACCACAAAACGAGAGGACAAAGTTTATAAACATTACACGTGTGTCAATCTAGCAAATATTTGAGTATGAAATAAAGTCTACAATATGTTTTTTCCGAGTCCAAAATGTTTTTACAGTATAGACTAGAATAACAAGATTTCTATGATAATGTAATGTGTGTTTTACTTGGTAACTTATCCTTATCTTCCCTAGCGTACTACGTTTTGATGCAGAGTTAAATGATTTCTAATCCTAATGTCATCTGGAGTATTGATAAAATATGCAATACAAGGAACATAATTCACCATTACTACTAATGTATTTATCTTGATAAAAATACATCCTACAGAAAACATAACAAGGTCTTAAGTCGTGCACCCTGAACAGGGTGCTAAAGTTAGGACTTTGCTCAGTATTGTAAAGATGTATACGCAGATCAGTGTAGAATGACGATCATCAGTCTCTTAGTCCTCGTGCATAGAGACTGGTATATTTAGAGGAGTGGTCTTCAGGTTGGCAGTCAATCCTCCTCAGGCTGACATGGGAGGGGAAGTGCATGTAGCTCCTGGCAGCATTTCTAAAAACGGTAAGTAAGGTTCCAGTTACATAGATCGTACAATTAACCAACGACGTAGGAGTTTCCAGAGGGAATACTTTTCTTTCAAAGCGGACCTTCGGTCGGTGCGCTGTACGGTGTACGTGACCGGAGGATTAAAACAATCAGTAAGAAAAGGAGCAAATCGCTTTCGTTTCTGTAAAAAGAAAAATGTCTCAAAAGTACAGAACTAAAGCAGAATGCATTTTCCCAATACGTGCCAACTCAACGTATGCAAAGGAAACTGTTTTCCTTCATAACGAAGGCTGTTAAACTGAGATCAGCCTGGAGTGGTTTCGGCACCAGTTTGTTCAGCACACACAACTTAGCTCTGGCAATCAATCTTTCCGACTGGCGAGCTAATTGAACTTGCAGGGAGGGCGTCGCTAAGATCGGGGAGCCGAGACGGATTGTTTCACCAGGCTAAACTCAGGACTCATGCCAGGAATGTCTCAAAATTCATATGAAACCTATCAAATTCACAAGAATTAATGTGTTTTGCACGCAATTAGAAACATGTTCCTTACCACCCAACCCTTCTTTATTATCACAAGGTCCCACAATACCAGCCGGTATTGGGACATCCTCGGGGTCGGTCTGCAGCAGTGTCTCGGTCATGCTGTCACGTTTGTCGTCACGGCTGTTCCTCCCCGGTGAGTCACAGTCCACACGGTGGGATAGGCAGGGGGAGGGGCAGGTGGCTCCGGGGAGGATTACTGGAAATAGTACGTAAAGGAAGCAGTGAGGAAAATACTTTACCTCTACTACATGTTAACAATCTAATTAAATAAGAAAAAAAGTCTCATAAATGATGATTAAGAAATGTAGTAGATCAAACGTTTTTATACTATCAATGCTAGTACTAGCAACAATCACACGGAACTACTACATAAAGCTATCATAGACTGTATTGGATTCAACACCCAACAAACAGTGTAAACTACACAGCAACGTGAAATCTCATTATTTTACAGGTCAAACTTTCAGAGTTGTTTGAACCGTGGTAAAAGAGTGAGATGGTACACTCATTGAAATTGTACAATTGCACCATTCTTGTTGTTGGATCTCATACCATGACAGTCTGCTTGACACATGACATGTGCTTGAGATCAGAGTCAATGTGTATTTATAATGTCCCTTACCGTCAACCTCTTCAAATTCACTACTTCCCACAGTTCCAGTCATTACAGCTGATTCTGTTGTCCTTACTCTGTCGCTACTCAGTGTTGCCATCTCCTGGGATGAGGACTCAGTAAAAGCCTCACGTACATCCGTGTGGCTTCCAACACGGGCGTTACGACGGAGCAGCCACTTGTTCCTCCAAATCCTGTGAAATTAAGCACGATTTTGATTAGAAGTAAAGAAACTTCATGTCACGGCTACAAATGGGAAATGAATGTGTGATTACCTCCATCATTAAAATACATTATATTAACAGAAATGTATTAAATCAATTTTTAAAAAAATGATTGCACAGCTGCGACGAGAATTTCCTTTGTCATGACCATTATAAAAGTTCATGGTTGTGAAAAAAAAATACACAGAAGTATTAAGGTCACAATATTTTAGCGGCGGCTCTACTGCCATCATCTGCAATGAAGGCAGTTGGGTGGATAACTATCAAAATGGTGTCAGGTAAGAAAATTTTGTAAGAAAGTCTTAGACGTTTCAGATAGAATCCACCATCTTTCATTAGTGATTGTGAATAATAAACGATGATCTTAGTCACCGTTGAAATATTACATACGTATAGGTTTTCTATTTATTGTCTATTCGTCGTTAATTGTCTTCTCGCAATATAGATCATCTTGTTGTTCGCTAATAAGTCTTCACCTCAGTCGGAAACGGTACAAAATGAATCCAATAACTCCCAGAGCAGCCACGGAGAGGAAGATCAGAGCATACTGCCACGGCGTCAGCCCACTGCAGGCAGAGTTGGATGTCAAACACTCACAACTGTGGGTTGGGTGTAAAATTATTATGTTAAAGAGATGAAATGTTATAATTACATTCGCCAAGAATGTTATGTTTATGTAGCGTTTGGTTGTATGCCTATGTGTAGTTTAGCGCTATGATAAGAAATTCAGATTTTCAACCCACCATATTCCTTTGGTATTTATTTATTTTTTAGGTTTTACCACGTACAGTATGCACTGTGTATGGCATGACGAAACAAGTGTTTCTGACATTAAACACCTTTTCTAAGCCGCCTTGCGAATAAAAAACAAAACAATACAAATTTAAAATTAATCAAATCACAGAATACAATTTCAGAAACAAATGAATAAACTCAGAACTACAAGGCAAGTCAACTTATTAACATTGTGAGAGTTATTGATTCGAGACAACAAATAACGACAATTATATAGCCAGAAGTGATAAGGCAGTTAGCGCGGTCTTGTGGCCAAACCTTGTGGTAAAACCTGTATGTATTATTTATACATTCCATTATGCTTCTTACATTTACCATCGGTCGCTGGCTGTAAAAGATTCGGCTTAAATGATAGTAATACTGTAGTAATAATTTTGATGATATTATCAATGAAAGTGATAATAGATCAGCAATCCTTTGTTAAGTTTTTAACCCTAAACAGTACACCTGGGGTCCGCGCGGACCCCAGCACTATATATTCTGTAATATCATTTTTGTTTCCAAAGATCTTTTTCTGAAATTTTAGGTAATTGTCACCCACAAAGTTGTCTCTCAATACAGTGCAGAAAACTCCATTTCTACCATTTATAAAAAAAATTATATCTGATTTTCTTTTGGGGTCCGCGCGGACCCCAGCCGGCTTTCGATCATAATGGATACACTGGCGTCCTTATAAATTACCTTATTTCCGTTTTTATATGTTTTAATGCACTCATCGTATGTCTACCAAGTTTTCAGAGAATGGTTTAGTAATAGAATTAAATTTTAATAACTTTGGTGTAATTATAACGTCATATGACGTCAGAGCTAATAATATAGTCCGCCATATTGTATTTTGACCAATGACGTCATCAAATTAGCATATTCTATGCATATCAAATGATTTAACTTATATCTAATTATGTAAGATGTTATTAATGTTGGAAAAGAAGTCTAATTTAATATAGAACTCAGAAAATTTTTATGTTTAAACCAAAATTACTTCTATTTTCAAAAAAACTGCCTGCTAGAAACCCGTTGCCATGGCAACACAAAAAAACATCAACTTACCAGTATTAAACTAATAAGAACTTTTTTTTCAGAGACATTTTAGGAAAGGTCTCCAAATTTGATACTTCTAGCGCAAGCCGTTTAGCCGCTATCTGAGATCAAAGTTGGGCCTCAAAAGCCCCTTCAGTCTGAAATGGGTTTAAAAATCGGGTATTTCTTCTTGTCTTCTTTTCTTCACCAATAAATAGAAAAAGTTCAAAATGTATGATTTTTGTATTTAATGTGGACACAGAGGTTCCCACATCAGTTTGCAAAATAATTGAGCTGGTAGCATGTTGATAATTTCTAAAAATTAGCAAAAAAACTGTTCTGGGGTCCGCGCGGACCCCAGGTGTACAGATTAATCAGTCCGGGAAGGTGTACTGTTGAGGG